CCCCCGAGCCTGTCGGGTGAGCGGGCATCCCCCCGCGCTGCGCTGAGGGAAGGGGAATCAGCTGCCGACAATTTATTCCTCAACCGTGTAACTTCAGCATGGCTCACGGTCAACGTTTAACTTCAAACCTGCGTTCTCCCGACGCGTGAACCGGCCCCGCACAGCAGCGGTGATAACATGAGTTCACCAGCTCCAAGCAGTCTTCACCAAAAGTGTTCTGCCTTTTGTTTTTCAAGAACAAACCCATACATATTCACCAAGAGGGATGTAATAAAAAAGGGCAACTCCAGCCAAAGCAAATTGTGGCTGACCCCCACCACAGCAACAGCGTTCAACCAGCCCAGCGCTCACGTTCCAAGACAACGGGAAAGCGATGCATTCGTGCGGGATTTAGGGAAAACAAGAAGCTTCGCAGCTACAGGTGACAACACCTTTTCTTCAAAGAGGCTGCAAGTAAACGCGACGCGCTTCGCCATTCGCCCTTTTCAGCCTAGACCGCGACTCGCCGTCCACGGCTAGAGAGGAGAGAGCTCGGCCACACCAAACGTGAAGTGCGGAGTCTCCGGAAAAAGAGGTGATACAGAAATGTGATGAACTGTTCATTTTATTAGAGATTTCAGGGAAGTTACAGTTTTAGAAGCAGGGTCTGCCGGTCACACCCGCTATCCCCGGCTGTGCCAGACCCGTCGGCTGATGCTGGGCGCACACCAAACGTGAAGTGCGGAGTCTCCGGAAAAAGAGGTGATACAGAAATGTGATGAACTGTTCATTTTATTAGAGATTTCAGGGAAGTTACAGTTTTAGAAGCAGGGTCTGCCGGTCACACCCGCTATCCCCGGCTGTGCCAGACCCGTCGGCTGATGCTGGGCGAGTCCCGGCACATCCCAGCCTCAGTTTCCCTTATCTGTTAATACAGAAGATTGATATTTCCACCCCTCCTCGTACAAAGCTTCGTCAACCCCGTGTGAAAGGATCCGCAGCTCCAAAGGAAAAGGACCAGAGAGGGCAAAGAATTCGGAAAGTTTTTCCTAGAGGGTGGGGCAGAGCCAGGACCCGCAGGAGCCCGACGCAGGCCGCTGCTTTATCGCCGTCACGGAGGTTTCCTCC